TCGACGGTTACAGAAGGCCTTGAATTCCGTCAGCCACGGCAAGAACATCTTCGTGTACAACAACATCCGCACGAAACAGGTTGTATACTCATTGACTCGCTACCTGGAGGTGAGTTTCTTTTCCCCTACTGGCACGGGCTTTGAAAGCTCCGGTCTCTCGCGAAACCCTCTATGCTGTCCTATCCTTCCAGTCCGCCGTATCGCAATTTTCTAACTTTTGGGACCTTTAGAAAAACAACCTCCTCAAGCAATGTGTCAACCACGGCAAAAAGACCATTCCCGCCACAGTCCGCAAGGATATGTGGGTGCCATACTTCTCTGTGCACTTCAACGAGGCACAAGTCGGACTGAACGTCTATAACCACCTGCGGCAATTCGCGTTGCTGCGCCAGCTCTCCCCGCCCAAGGAAATGATCACCGTGACACAAGAATATCTCGATTCGAAGCGGCCGGTAGACCTAAGGGACCAGAAGCAATGGGACAAGGAAAACATGGGAAGAGTGGGCCAGATCATGATGAAGAAGGAGCGTGCTTACGCCCTGATGAACCAGAAGGCCACCGCGATTGCCGACATTGCTTTCGTTCTGCAGAAGCACCGAGACCATATCGTGGAGGGTGTGCCGGAGAGCTCCAAGTCCGGATACAAGACTCTCAAGGCCCGTAGGCGCAGACGTGCGGCTCTCCTGCAGGAGGCCGCGCAGGCTAAGGAACGTGCGGGTGAGGTTGCATCGCTCGAGGAGCAGCTGCAGGTTCAGATTAGCGCGGACCACAACGCGCCACAGGAGAAGTCTGTTAAGATCTTGTGGCAGGATACGTACGATGCGCAGTTTGCGAAGAACTGGCCCGATTACATTGAGCACGGTCAGCTGCGCTGGACTCGTAACCACATGATTGGCCAGGAGGACCTTCCAGTCCCTAGCGAGGACATCATCGCCGATGGTTCGTTTGAGCAGGCGTAGACGTTTGGTGTCATTGACGTTCTTCTTCTCTCCTGTCCGTCGCAGACCAAGACGAGACGTTTTGTGTGTGTTGATATCCATTTCCCTCTGGCTTTGGTCTGATGGTTGGTGCTTTTTGTATTTTCTCTCTTGTCTCTCTGTCTAGCTTATCCTAGCATCCATAAATTGTACTTTTAGATATATCAAATCACAAGAAGATATGGCCACCTTCCAAGTGCTGTCTTCTTTTGACATCTTTTCTAGCGTCCTGTTAAGTGCGATCTCTTTCGTTTTTTTCTTTGTATCATCTTCGTTCTCTAGATGAACGGTGGAAAAGATATTATAATGCACAAGGCCTCAAGTTTAAACGACTAACTAGGGCGTTCTAAATCAAAATCCTTTTCGTTCATAGCAAATCAACCGACTGTCTATCCTAATGTCCATCGCATCATTGCTGATCATACCCTACACCAGCAGCGGATACAACAGACAGGTACCATGTCTTCGGTTTAAAGAATCATTTGATGGAAAACAAAAGAGCCTAATCTCATAGCGGCCAAATTCAGGACAAATATCCTAATAATAGAAGGAATAGAAAGACTTATGCTAACAAAAGACATCAAGACCACCAAGTCTGATCTCGTAATAAACAAAAGGTTGAAAAATGAAGACAACGGGCAACCAGTGTGCACCATTGACGCCAATGTGCAATGTAATAAGTAAGCGACAGGAAGGGAAACTCCAGAAGATATTCCGGGTTGGGTACATTGCTCCCAGAAGCACCAGATGTAGATAGCAGACGAAAAGAAAGAAATGGACACGTTCTATCAATTCGTTTCACAGCTTCAGAATGGTGTTTCGGCTTCATAACATGTCGTAAAATCACTGAGTCGAGCCGGACGGGTTGTCCGGGCTTCTATTCGGACTCAGAATGTCCACAGAGGGAAGGTCGTTATTCTCTTTAGATGACGTCTCGGGCCCGGGGTCTTGTTTGTCATTGCTGTTGGCCATTCTCTGAAGAACCTCTTCATTGGCCTTCTCTGCCGCTGCGGGATTATCTGCAAGACCGGAAGCCACGAGGCTTTTCTGTGCTTTCTCGACAATCTTATCGGCCTCACTCACGCCCCCAGCCACCTTTGTATGCGGGTCCCCGTCCACGCCTATCAATTCCGCATTGTTGTTGACAATGTCCTTGACACGGTTGGAGTCGAGGCGAATCACCATGCAAGACAGGTTGTCGGTGCTGAACCGTGCAAGGGCGTGGTCAACAAGAATCTTTGAGGCATGTTGAGCATCTTGAACGTTCCGGATTAGATCGACAGATTCCTGATCACTGCAGACGTCCCATAGCTATTGAATTATAATTAGCTTTCTTGTATCATCAACTTTGTGAATAGATTTCAACTTACACCATCGCAGGCCAAGATGATAAACTCATCGGAATCTGGCTGGATAACCGTCTCTGTCGTGTAGGGATGCCCAGTCACAAGGTCTTTCAAATATGCATCGCCCAAGGCACGGGTGACGGCCAGAACTCCATTCACACGGTTGTTCAGGATTAGCCCGCCAGCGTTGGCAACTCTTCTCCCTTCATTCTCATCGCTACCCTTATGGTCATAGGACAAACGAAGTGCTTTCCCATTACGACATAATACAATGCGTGCATCGCCAACGTTGGCTGTGTACAATACCCGTTGCCGAATAGCCTTGTCCTGCAACTTCGGGAGCACACCAGAGACGCCCGGAGTAGCTTGAGTCGGGGTTTCGACATTCTCTGAATTCGCATCCGCTTTCGTCGCCGCGGCAGCCGCCGTGCCAATGGCAGAAGAACCGGTGGCCGACTGTGAGTTGGGTACACGATCTTCCCACCGAAGCACGGCAGTGACGGCTGTGCACCCAGAGTTTTTGACAGGCAATTTCTCCAACTGCTGGTCCACACTGGTGAAAGTCTGATCAAGAAGCTCTGGAACGGGAGTGCCTGGGCTTTTGCGCATGACATCCTCAAGAATCAAATGCAACTTCTTTCCACACCACTCTGCGGCAAAGGTGCCGGCATGCCCATCGAAAATCGCAAAATAGCCATTGTCTGTTTCTACAACGGTAGATGAATCCTCTGATGACTGTGACACGCTAGTCTTGGGGGAACTAGCACCATTTAGCTCTGGTGCAGTTGGGGCAGGGGTGCCTAGGAAATTGTAGAGATAGGCATGCGTATCTTCCATTGTCCGGCGACATTTGCGATTACGGTCTTCGGTAACACCAACGCGGAAGGATGACCGAGCAGTCGGCGCAGATTCACCGGCGGAGTTATTGAACGACCCTTGAGGGACGCTGAGGGCCGGGTCCATCTTTCCAAGCTTCTGTAGTGGGCTTTCCGCAATCGAGGGACTGGTGCTGATCGCAGAACTATCCCGGCCGTTCAAGTTCAGGGAACTTTTGGCGCTATTGAAGAAATTTGCCGCTTTGGTAACGGTACTACTCCTGCGCTTCTTCTCGCCAGTGGTACCCTGTTCTTCACTTTGTCGACGGTTGAAAAACCCAGCGCTGGGCGGAGAGAATCTCTTATCTCGTGGACTGGTACCGATTGAATCGGTTTGGAGGGTCAAGGAGTTGGGGTCGAGGCCAGCCTCTGGGAGTGCGTCTACTTTATCTTTAGGTGGGCTCGAGGAGCCACTGAACATTCTGCTCAGTAACCCACCCTGCGAAGAAAAACTGCGGCGCTTATTTCCTGCCAGCTTGATTGTATCCCTTCAAGAGGAATTGGTGGATCGGGATGGTGGTTTAGTGATGGGCGGGGCGAGCACGGAGGGGGCGCTGCGAGGCTGACGTAGGAGTCGGTCGGTCGAGGCCGAAATAGGAAGAATTGGGCTGTAAGTGCTAAATAAATCAGCAACGAGTATTTTTGGGAGCGAAGAGATGTCTGAAATGAAAGACAATGAGGCGCAAATATAAAGAGGAAGATGGTTTAGGCAGTGAGCGGCACAGACATGCAATGGGGGGGGGGGGGGGGGGATGTGGGGAGGGGGGGGGGGGGTGTTTTATGTTCCACCACAAAAAATATAAAACACAATATAACGAACCA